TATGTACAAATGTGCTTGACATTTGGATGTAAGGATTGTTATAAGAGCTGTAAGAGTCCCCAATAAAATGATATATTAAAGAGGAAAAAAAAGAATTGTCTTTGGGCGATGTTGAGTTTGACTCTCCTTCCCCTTGTTAAGTCAGAGGAGATCACCCGTGCCACTCCCATACCATTCTTATGCTCCTGTTGCCAATTAAGAGAGACGTTCGCTGAAAAACTTCTCCTGAGAGCGGAGAGAATAGTGTACCAGGACCCTGTTAGGGAAGTAGTTGCATCTAAAATCTGGGCTTATTTTCGTCAGCTATTGATCAGACATTTGATAGTAATAAACTTTGCACTTGAGGTACAGGATGGTAGAAAGAGTCCTGGGATGGAAATCAGGACGGAGCTTCGAGTCCCAGTGCAGTACTGCCTGTTGGGCCTTGGAGAAGTCATTACGGCCAAGTATGGCTGATCCATGTTATCAGACCACAAGGAACATGAGCCAGCAAGAATTTCCCGAGGGTCCCAGGCACTCAGCTAAGAGAAAGACAGACTTCAGGAAGGTGGAAGGGTGGACACAGGAAACTGGGAATCTTGTCTAGAGTGAGGAAAGGGCTGGAAGTCACATATAGATATGTGATTAACAGTAGCTGACAGTGACTGGTGCTTAGTATGTGTTTGGAAATGTTCTAATCAAGCTATAAAAGGGTTTAAAACATGTAAAAGTGTTAGATAAGCACTAGTATTATTCCTACTTTATAGGTGAGGGTGAGAAAACAGTCACAGCTTAAAGTAACTTGCCCAAGGTCACACAAACTTGGCCTTCTGGCGCCTAATCCGTGCTCTTTCCCGCGATGGTTTACTACCTAATATGTTCCCTCTGCCAGTCCACTGGCCCTCAAGCCACTGGCATGTGCAGAGCTCTGAGCTTTGGGTCCAGATCCCATCAGTGCACTCGGATACAGGCGATGGGCTTAAGTGCTCGCTTATATTAAGTGACCTGGGTTTTGGTCCTCGTCTCTGTGATTGGCTTTGTAACTATGGACAAGTCTTTGGGTCTGGTTTTCTTAGCTGGAGTAATTTTTTTTCACATGATCTTAGCTTGAGGTTATCTACAAAAGGACACAAGCAATAATAGTAGTAATGTTCACTGGATGCTTCCTATGTGCCAATAATGGTGTTGAGGATGTTAGATCATTCTCACTTCTTCGCATAGCTTCATAACAATCCAGTGATAGGCGCCAATACTGAACTCATGGTACAGATGACAAAACTGATATAAACAGATTCTGGCCAACTCCACTTAATAGGGTAGAGTTGGGATTCGAACCTAGGCACCTGGAATCGGATTTTATCCTACATCCCCAGTAATCATTCTAACGCTGTCTTTTGGGGTTCTACCAGCCCACTGCATGGTGATTCGTTCTGCTGGGCCCAACATGGTGGTGCCTAAAAACAGACAACAAGGGATTATAGAACATCACTAAGCTTATTTTTCAAGGACTACGAACTCGCTCAATTTGGTAGAAATAATCTAGAGGCCTAAGGAGAGAAGGAAAAAAAAAAGTTCGTAGAGCTGATAAATGAATTATTTTAAAAATGCCTTCTGAGACAGCATGACTTGGAAGTATGTGCGTCTCTTTACCAATAAGCAAATGCAGTACCAGAGAGAAAGAACTAGAATTTAAGTCATCAGACTCCTAGGCCAAGGCGCTGTTCCTCTGGTCGTCATCTTGGGAAGCAGAGTTTAAAAGGGAACTCTTGTTTGGGAAGAACTGTGTGGTACTTTCCACACAGCATTCCCCCATCCCCGGAAGCTTCAGTGACCTTGTTTAGACATCTTAACAGTCCAGGGACTCTCTAGATTTTGAAGGCAGGTCTCAAACATGCTTGCCCCATGGCCAGAAAACGTCTGTGTGAAACAGAACTTCGGCAACGAGCTGGCCCACAGTGGACTGGCTGCTGTTGAGTTGAATCTGACTCACGGGGACCCTTGTGTTACATATTAGAACTGGTCTGTAGGGATTTCTTGGCTGTAATTTTAACAGCTTGCCAGGCCTTTCGAACACAGTACTCCTGGGTGGGTTTGAACTGCCACCTTTTAGGTTAGTTTAGTGCAAACTGTTTGCATCACCTTTGGTACAGGGAGTAGTTCATATGAGCACCAGTGGTGGTTTAAAAATAAACGACATAGCTGGTTGTATTGAGCTTCCCCTACTTATCAGCTCCCTTGTGAAACGAGGCAACTGACAGGTGTACTCTCGCCTCTTAGAGTGAATGTAGCGCGCCGAGCAACCTGAGTGCAGAGGAGGCCCTGTCACTACCGTGCAGGTGAAGGCAGGCACTGAGAAAGGGCAGAGAGACTGGCTTCGGATTCACTTCTTGCCTGAAGAAGCAATCTTGGATCAGCGCTATAAGGCTGAAGGCCTTAGTTTTCCTATCTGAGAAGTGGGTCTAATTTAGCACCCTGCTTCACAGAATGAAATAAAGGAAAGGGGTACTGCTGCAGACAGTACAAAATGAAAAAGAACTGTGAGCCAGGGAGGAGGCATTTCTTGGGGGCTGGAGTCTCAGCAGGTTGCAATGCCTGTTATCTCTCTAGCTGCGCAGGACAACAGCCATGGGCACAGGATTTGATAGTTTCACTTTGAGGTAAGCAGGCAGGGACTGGAGAGGTAAAGTGGCCTGCCGGAGTCAGGAGCAAGCAACCTGGGAAGAATGGCTGGCTGCAAAGCTTTGATCACTCCACTACGCCATGGCTTCAAGAGGCGATGGGGTTGCTTCCTTCTTTCTAGGGGAGGCTTGTACTTAGAGACCCCATCACCGTGCCTCAGGACACCCTGCATCCGTGGGTGTTCCAGCTAAAGCATCACTCTGTTAACGAACCCTCTCCCCTTTCTACACCAGCAAGTCAGAAGATACTTTCCTTCTAGTTCCACACTGTATGAAGACATATTAAGACAGCTTGGATAAGGAGATTATAATTTGTAATTAAATATTAACCTTTCTGACAGTATTAAAATTAAACCACCTAGAATTCTTCATCCCTAATCAGGTGGTTCCTGCCTGTAACTGCATCTTCCCTAATAGTCTTGCTAGTTTATGGCCCTTTCCACAGTGCTAATTGTTTCAATCGCTGCCAACCTGATGAATTGTCTTTAAAGACGCTGCTTTGGTTGGAGCATATTAGTAAGTCATGTGCCGCTTCCTGCCTGCCTGCCTGTCAAGTAGGTCTGCTCTGGGCTTGGTTGAAGCAGAACACAGCCCCCAGCAGAGCCAGGGAGGCTTGAGAGTCCAAGGCCAGTAACTATGGGGGAGGAGGTGAGGCTGGGACCACGAAGGACTAGCCCAGAAGGTCATCAGCTGAGCCGTCTTGTTTCGGGGCTGCCATGCTCTCAGGGAGGTGGCAAGGGAAAAGAGGGAGGAGCCACTGGCTGGCCGAGCCTGAGCCACTCATTACTTCAGCGGGGAGGCTTTTCACAGGCCACAGGCAAAGGAATCTAGGGTCATAGGCATCCTCTGATGGGCGGGGAGGGGCAATGGTGCTGTAGCCTCACCCTTGGAAAGGGTGGTAGGAGAAAGTCTGGCTTGAGCTGGGACATTTTTGCATTCTGTCCAAGGAGTGCTCTCTCTGACAACTTTCCCTCCCTCCCTGTCCATAAAAGCATTTCCTATCAGTCTAGAAAGACAACCTGAGCAGGTCTAGGAAAGCCAGAATGGGAATAAAAAGGGGGTGCGGATAGTCCTCTCCTACACAGAATATATTTCTCCAAGCAATTCAAGGGAGGAGGCCCTGTCACTACCTTACAGGTGAAACGGAAGAAATAATATGTTCAAAAGCTCATGAAGGATGGAGAGAAGGGATAAGATACCAGCTTCTTCTTACTTGTTCCGCCCTATAGGCCGACCCAGGACTCCCTCCTGAGCACAGCCTGAATGCACGGGCAGTAATGGTATATGTTTCCAAACTTGTCCTCCTCTCCAGACCGAGTTCCTCGGTGCAGGGATGGGGTCTTAACTGCGGTTGCATTATCAGAATCTAGTACAATGGCTGCCACAGAGTTGATGCTTGAAACATGTTATAGAGGTGAATGCCACCTGGTTCTCCCAGGAGCCCCAAGAAGCAGACAGGGCAGGGCTATTTCTCATATTTTGTAGATGAAGACACTAGGACACAAAGAGGTAACTTGTCCAAATTCTTAGAATAATTGGTGGCCAAGCTGGGGCCGGAGCTGAGACCTACTTCCTAGTCCAGGGCCCAACTTGTTGACTAGTTATTTTGGATGTAGAGATCCTAATGACCTGCAGATCAGGCTAGGTCCCAGGTCTTACCTTTTTGGCATCTTTGTGCATATATTTGGCGGTCTGCTTGGCCAGCTCTGTTTTGCCTAGCAAGACAGAGGAGAGGAAGTGGGTTAGTCCCAGATGGCTCTCTCTTGCAACTAAAGAATATCAGAAATGCATGGACACGGCGGAAGTAAAATCTTTTATGGATGGGACTGTACAGAGGCTCAGAGAGGGTCAGTGACTCACCTGAAGTAGCCGAGGGATTAATGGTGAAGCTGGGATCAGAATCAAAGTCTATGCTGCATCTGAACTTATTGTGAAGTGGGAAGCAGACTCTTATCATCTACAGTCACTGTGTCCTTGGGGGTCCAAACAAGCCTCACCTCCTTCAGGAGCTCCCTAACTTCCTAGCTCACTGCCCGGTGTCTCTCTGGTCAGCCATGGCCCTGCCAAACAGGGCCTGGGGCCACACGCCACAAAGAGGCTGGAAGGGGGTAAGATAAAGAGCACCTTTCTTTGGTTGCAGCAGCCTTGGGAGCCCAAAGAAATAACAATACTCGGCCGTTTAGTATGCTCAAAACCTTTGGCCACCATTATCTCGTAGGAAGTCAAGTTCTGGACTTGGCCAGGTTGTATCATCTTTGGGATTCTATATCTGAGGAAGAAGTAGGCCCATAAGGATGTTGGGATGGAAGAGGATGGCAGGTGGGGGCGAGGGAGTTGTCTTTGAGGACCCAGAAATGGGATGATAAGAATGCTTCAGACAATCTAGCCCAACCAGCTAGGAAAATATCGACCCCGTTTTATTGCACCTGGCACTAGGCTGACAAGCAGGGGATCTACTTAGCTTCCTGAAGGGCTTCTCCCAGACTGTACTGTACAGGAGTGGAATGGGGAGGCAGTGAAGATGGTTCTATTGTTCCCAAAGGGAGGCAGAATGGCTGAACCAGGGCTAGTGGGCCCTGAAGGGCCTGGTCCCCCAGGGAAATGAGCTCCTTGTACCATAGTTTGCAGAGGGAAGGGCAAAAGCCCAGCTGTTTATGACAAGAATCCAAAAGAGAAGGCCATGGTGGTGATTCTGTAATTTGCAGGCAGGTGTTTTGGGGCCAAATCCAAGCCAGGAGTTGAGTTGGGTTGTGTGACCCTGGCCGCAGCAGCTGGGGCTATCAGGCTTGGGGCGGCCCCTCCCCCTGTCCTCCCTCCCCACGGTCTGATCTGCTCCCACTTACCTATTCCAGATGATCCCAAGAAGAGGAAGACCAGAGGGTGTTCTTCATCGTACCAGCCATTCTCCTTCCTCCGGATTGCTATGGCCAAACACACAAGACGGGGGGCCAGGGAGGGAGGCAGATAAATCAATGACACAAAAGGCAGGATAATTATCACTAAGTATACAATATGTTTTACTGCTCTGCGCCCACTCAAAGTCCTCACTACCATTAGTGCTGCCTAATCTGATTAGCTGGCAAGGCCCCTAGAGACACCTAATCAGGTTAGCATGGATTTGGAAAGCTGCCCAGAGCAGATTTCGGATAAAGTTTTCCAGGATGAGCACTCAGCGTTGCCAGGGAAACTGAAAGGCGGGTGGATAGTGAATGGAGGTGAAGGGGGTGGGGGGCTGGGGAGGGAGAATCCAAGAGGAACTTGAGCTGGGCTGGTTACCCACTTTACCTCCTGTGTGAATAGGAGTAGCAGAAGCTATGGCAGACCCTTGGGGTTCTGGGATGTCAATGCTAGACCCTCCCATTTGGGGAAGCCAAGACCTGCTCCACCATCTGGATCAGGAAGCGGAAATACTGCCACATGCACTTTCTGGAAGCTGATCCCAGGTAGAGCGGAGCACAGGGCAGAGCAGGGGGTATCCACCTGGTTAGCATCTCTGGTCACCATGCTCTCTCTCCAGTGGGGTGTGAGGAGCGGGACTGATCTGCAGCGAGTTCCCGAGGGACTCAGCTCTGCTGCAGGGAGACCCACGTCCTCTTCTTTTAGAGGGAGTATATAATCAAAGGCTATGCATTCAAGCTGAGGAAATTAAGTGGCAAAGTACACAGTGGAAGAGATCAAGTGCAGGAACACTGCTCAAATATAAGAGAAGGAAGTAACAGGGAGGCAGAGCTATATAATACGAATCCTTTATTAAACAAGCAATATGCTAAGCTGCCTTTTCCACATTACCAAGCAATGATGTCCTTCTCCGGGGACTGGTCTCTCTTGACAATAGGTCCAAAGTATGTAAAACAAAGTCTTGCCATCCTCGCAGCAATGAGGTCGGCAAAGGAATAACTGTGAGGATGGCGCAGGACCACGCATTTTGTTCTATTGTGCATAGCCCCTGTGGGTCATAGTTGACTCGATGGCACCTAACAACAGTGTGCTAAGCTAGAGCCCTAGTGGCACAACGTGTTAAGCATTGGGCTGCTAAACACAAAACGGGCAGTTCAAACCCAGCAGCTGCTCTGCAGAAGAAAGATGAGGCTATCTGCTCCCATATACATTTGCACCCACAAACGCCCCGTGGAGCAGTTCTCCTCTGCCCCTCGGCTGAGACGAGTAGAACCAACTGGACGGCTAAGCACAAATGGAGGCTTCCACCTTCTTATTTACCCGAGACCCAGCTCACACTCAGAGAGGACGGCACTATTCTCAAATCATTACGGAGCAGGAAACTCGCCCAAGTCACACGAGTGGATGGTACGGTCACTTCTCTCTAGAAGCCTATCTTCTTTTTCTTTTATTTCTCAAGGAGTTTTATAGCACGAGATCTCTTGACAGTGTTAAAAAGCAAACACGTCATCTTGAGGGTTACAGTGCACCTGACCTAAAGTGGTATTTTCTTTCTTTTTAAAAAAAAAATCATTTTACTGGGGGCTCATACAACTCATCACAATCTATCCATCCATCCATCCATCCATCCATCCATGTGTCAAGCACATTTGTACATTTGTTGCCATCATCATTCTCAAAACATATTCTTTCTACTTGAGCCCTTGGTATCAGCTCCTCATGTTGTGTAAGGAGTCCTGATGGTGTAGTCGGTAAGGACTGGGCTGCTAACCATAAGGCCAACAGTTTGAACCAACCCGCCACCACACCAGAGAAAGATAGGGGTCTTTCCCATAAAAATCTATAGCCTTGGAAACCCAATGAGACAGTCCTCTTTCTTTTCCTACAGTCTCGCCATGAGTGGGGATCGACTCAATGGCAATGGTTTGGTTGGGGTTTTATGGCTGCTAATAAAAAAGAGAGAGCATCAATTTGGGTTGCATTCACAAAACTGTGGAGACAGAGCACTGCACAAAGTCTAAGTACGTCTGCAGATGGAGCAGCATGAATGTTGGGGGGCGGGGGGACTAGCCAAGGGACCTATGTCAAAGGAGAAGTGGGCTCAGAAATCAAATCCGTCCAGAAAGCTCACAGTGGTAGAGATGTGTCTGCTTTTCTCGACGTGTTGAGATCCCAAAGGAGATATGCAGAGGTCAGAGAAGGCTTTCGGAAGAAAAAGGCTGGGCAAGTGGCCAGCACGACAGAGGTGGAGAGGCAGGCATGAGTGGACAGTGGAGGTGAGTGCTGTCAGATTAGGCAGACCTTGGAGACCCGCCTTAGGAGTTCAGCCTGTGTTTGTGCTCTTTTTCACTTTGACCTCTAGTCGACATTCCGAGAATGAGACTTCTGAGACTCCTGAAAGGAGCTTGAGAAAATACTCAACTCCCTCTCCTGGGCTAGCACCCAGATCTTCTCCACGCTCTCTAGACCAGGACTAGCGGGGAGCCCACTGGACCCACCTGGGATGGAGAGGGAGAAGTGAAAATCTGGCTGAAGGGAAAGTGCCTGGCATACGCACAGAGGAAAGGGGAGGAGGAGGTACCATAAAATGGTAGAGGCTAGACTTTGATGGACAGTTCTATTGTGTGTGCGGATGTGTGAATATGTGGTCCAAAAGGTGGCTGAATCGAGAATCTCAGCTACGAAGCAGCTGGGTGTGAGCTAGCTTTCGGCTTCAGGGGGTGTCTGGAGAGGTGGAGGTACCCAGGTACCAGCTAGACAGGCAACCGGGAGAGATGGGGTTCCTCAGGAGGTCATGTACTTGAGGTTCTGTGCAATACAAAAAACGGCCACGGAGGCTGTGGAACTGGATTATGCCTGGGGCCATCTTCTCCCGACTCTGGTCTAATAATGCACCTGGGAGAGAGCTCTTTATAATGCCAGGCAGGACTCACTACGCAGCTGTCTCCGGTCAATTCTGCCAGACCCAGGGCATGAGTCTGGGGTGGGCTTGATATGGGGCCCCTATGAAACAGGCAAATTGCCAACCATTAAACAATTACAACTCTGGATATTTCTAATAATATCTGAAGAGAAAAAAGGTCACACAAATGGAGTCCGACAGAGTGAAAAATGGAAGCAGCTCAGAGGGGCTGGGCAAAGGAGGATCTCCGTATGGATGACTGGCAAGGTGGCTGGGGACCAAGGCTGGGAGCCCCGAGGGTCCTGCTCAGGGGCCAGGGTGGAGGGCGGTACAGACAGAGACCTGGAGGCTCCATCTGGGATGTGGCTACAGGCACTGCCATTCTTAAAGTGGCCCAGGAAACACAGCACCTTACTCTCCTAACCCTTTACAAGCCACAAAGATCTTCTGTAGACTTAATTTCACTTGAGCCTGTGAGGCAGGCAGGGCCAAGAAGTGGATTCCCATTTTACAGATGCGGAGTAGGCTATCTGATCAAAGTTTTCGAGCTGAGCTTTGATCCCAACTTTAGCTGACTCTTGAGCCCACACTAGTGCTTCAGGAATTAGAGAAAGGAGTCAGCTCTCTCTTACCACACCCTGGCCTTGTCCAGACACAGTCTTTCTGGGGTCTCACAACCTGGCCTGCCCAGTCTTTCAACACGTGGCCCCAGAGATCCTGTCCCCTGACCCTCTGCTGACTGCCACTCTGAAGGTCCTCTAAGTGGGCAGCTCTGCTCCCTTTCTGGGCTGGCCTCACCTCTGCAAGCTCCACATGGGCTCCTTTGTCTCCTGAAATGCTGTGCCAGTGCCAGTGCCCACCTGGTGTGGGTCCTGCCCTTCCCATCATGCTTTCTCCTGGCCATGTCTAGCTTGGCTAGACCATCTGAAAACTCACCTGCAACAACTCTGATAACCCCACTACAGCACACCTACCACCACTTCTTTAACCCCGGAGTCTGGGTTCTCTGGGATGGGCTCATCTGCCAGGCACAACAGTGGAGAGGGTAAGAGTTAAAAGGATCTAGGTTAAAGTCCTGGCTCTGCCACTCACTAATTGACCGACTTAATTCATCAGAGCCTCAGTTTCTACATGGAATTAATGGGAACGGTCATGCATTTCGAGTCATCCCTATCCATAGAGGAAACGAATTAATGGAGATGAGAGTGGGATAAGAAGAGTTAAAACAGTAGTAACAGCAGCAGCCCTTAGACTGATACTTTACGCCTCTCCATTCTTATCATAATTGTGAGATGTGTGCGTGACCCCCACTTTATAGAGGAGGACGTTGAGGTCCAGTGAGGGGCAGGGTAAGGGGTTTCATCTGCCTCTGCCCTCCTACTGGGGGGAGGTGTGCTCTGAACTGCAATGGCGTTCCACGGAAGCAAGTGCGTTGGCATTCTACTTCCGCAGGCGCCCCTCAGACTAGCCGGACAGTGGTTCAGTGCGTGCTGGCCACACGAGTTCACGCTTGGTGCTTGGGCACCACGAAGGGGAGAGGACGGTCTGAAACTCTCCTTGACACAGAAGATCGGGACCTGGGTTCAAGGATTCTGTCTCCCTCCGGCTGCTTACTTCTGCCCTTGGGTGGAGAAGGCTTCTTCTTTCTTCTTAAACTCCTCTCTGGAAACCCTTAAGCATCTGTCCGGCAAACAGGGTCTGTGCCAGGTGCTGGCGAACCCACAAAGAGGTCAAAAACAAGGTTTGTGCTTCACAGAAAAAGCTGCTCTGAAAGCTGTGAGTTCCAAAAGGAGAGAGGGGTGGGAGGAGACATTTGTGCCTGACTGACAGTGGCTCTGAAGGCCGAGGGAGACTGACAGGCAGTCAAAGGCATGGCGGGACATTCCAAGAAGAAAGATCTCCTTCCTGTGTTCAGCTCAGGGCTCTGTGGCGGGCCGACCCACTCTTCTAGAAAAGTCCGCATCATCTAGTGTGAGTTTTTTCTTTACCTAACATGTTTGTCCCGTGACTGTGGCATCGTCCAGGGGACCAGCCCTTCCCAGGTGGAAGGAACACAGCAAGTGCTCACCAGGGAGCTACTCTCTATGTGGGTCTCGATGCGCCGAGTCTGGTGGACCTGGGAGAATGGTTCTTTTCTTACGTTGCAAGGATTATTCTTTCAGTGGCAAAGTATTGCAACTGAGTAGTTGACCCGTCAAAAACGCTGAAGAGAGCTTCCCTCAGCTCCCCCATTGTGCTTGTGTGTATGTGTATTGCGGGCAGAAGTCACCTGCAGTCAGAGCGACACCCCTCCAGAGAGAGGCTGAGAAGAGACTCTGGGAAAAATGTCAAAATGAGCTCGGCCTTCATTCACTCTAGTTCAGCATCATTTTATACACCCATGTGCCCAACCTGAGAAGCCAACTGAATGAGAGGGAGTTCCTAAGCTCTGCGGGAGACAGGCATTCAAACATGGAAGCTAACTGTGCGGTGAGTGCAGTGTCGATGAGGCCCGGAGAAAGGGTCCTGAATCCGTGGAGGACGAGGGCAGGCTTCCTAGAGAAGGCCCAGGCTGCAAAGGGAAGAGTAGGGCAGTCCAGGTACCAAGATAGGGAAGCCAGGAACCGCATGGCATGTGGGTGGGAAAGTAAGCAGTTTCGTAGGCTAGTCCCGCCACCCCACAACTCACAGACCAGAAACCAGGGCTCAAAGGAAGGGTCGAGAGAGGTGCAGGACTTGGGGAGAAAGACCTGTTTGGGACTAGTCAGAGAGGGAAGTGAAGCAGGAGGCAGGATGGTGTACACATTGTAGAGGCCAGCAGGTGCAGTGGCTGAGCTGCCGAGGGAATAAACAGGCTTCAGAACCAGCTGGGACCTGGTGGGATGGGTGTTGGGGACAGTTCTCTTGGCTTTTGGGACAGTGCGAACACCAGGGAAGTTGCCAGGTGTATGTGCTGACATGGTGCCCAGGATGGCTTCTTGGAGCAGGTTTGGAGATGGCCTGTCCACGTAAGGGGTCAAAGGTCACACAGTATGTTTCAAGAATGAACTCTCAGTTTCTCATACTCCCAGTAGGAGTGTGAGCTGCTAAAGATGTTCACAGATGGACAAGTGGCCACAGCAAATCTGTTTAATTGACTGACTGCACTAAGTATCTACTCTGAGCAATGTGCACTGCCAGGAGCTGGGAAAACAAAAATAATTTTTGTGGATGGGAGCAGACTCTAGCTCTGAAGGTGCTGACTAGGACTCTGGGTTCTGAAGGTGCTGCTGCCTTTCTGAGGAGGCTGCTGAGCTCCCAGGTCAGCTGCCAGGGCAGGCTCCTCCCTACTGCCCGTGACCAACAGCAGGTCTGGATTCTGGAAGGAGTGCCTCACTTTCGATGCCAAGGCTCTGGTTGTGGCTCCAGGACCTCGCAGAGCAGGGAGGCCACGGGACCCGGGCTGTGGGGTTTGGGTGCTTTATCCCCTCCATTTGTAAGGCGGTAACTGAGCGCCAGCCTTGCTGAGAAGCCCTGCAGCTGGGGATCACACTGATAAATTCACTGTATTACTTTGCACAAATCAATATCCCAGCACTTACCAGGGGTTGATGTGACCGAAATTGGTTTCAGCCAATTCGTGAGGGTAATAAATGGCCATTTATCAAATCAATTCATTCTGCGGCACTTCTCTGGCTGCCCATCCTCATGGCACCCATGGGGTGCCAGGCTCCAGCCCGCCAGCCTGTATGTGACATGAGCCGAGAGGTCTCACGGAGGCCTGGCCTTCCCTCTCCATCGCCTCACGTTCCTGGCCCCACTTCCGTTTTGAGCTCCTGAGGTACTGCTGGCTTCCTCAAATGTTTCCTCATTCCCCAGCCCACCCGGCTGCCACATTCCTTGATGCGTGGGCCCAGAAGCCTCCGAGAGCTGGTCACAGAGAACGGACATGGCTCCGAGCACAGCGTGATCACTAACTGCCAGGTCTCTCCACAGGGAGGGTGCATAGTTACCTTCGTGCAAACGGAGGTAACCAACAATAACACTACAGCTCAGGGCCCAAGGCTTCTGTCCTGTAAGGATGCCTGGAGTCACTGTAGGGTCAGCCTGCATACCAAGGGCAAGGAGCCCGGTCTTCCCAGGAAGTCATTTCCTCTGGCCCGAGGCAGAGTTCAGCGACAGAATGGAAGCTCTGGGTAGAAAGCAGCAAGTAGGACAGACACTCTGAGAGCCCTTAGGAAGAAGCCATGGGAACATCTACTCTGGCTCTGGGTCCCTGGCAAGGATGGACAGGTGGGTGATACACTCAGAGATCAGTGTAAGACCTGGAATGAAGGCTCAGCCTCAGGTTGAAGGACGTAACTGAGGGCTTGATCTAAAGAGTCCAACTCTAGACTGTACGGATCTTGAGGGCAGGGGCCTGGTTTTAGTCACTGCTGTCTGGTATACACTGTAAAGAGCATGTGCTAGATAGTGAAGGTCCCAGGTTTACATAGCTCAGCAAAGCTAAGTGACTGTCTCAAGCGACACAACTAGTAAGCGGCAGACATGCTGACTGAGCTCACATTGGCCCAATTCCTTCCCTCTCAATGTCCTTCTCCAGGGCCTATTTCTGGGGAGCTTCCTGTCTTCTGGGCTTGAGGAGCCGGTGAGAAGTCGGTAAGATGGGAGCCTGCAGCCTGCTGGGCAAAGACCTGTGCCAGGGCCTGGGGGAAATCCTATCAAGCCTGGCCCGTGTGGACATCACTCCAGCAGACACTTTCTGAGACCTCCATCCAGGTCATCTGTCTCACCCATTGGCTCCTCCTTCTCACTCTTCAACCCAAGAGGGCTCTCAGTCTCCCCCTCCTTCTACCTCACACTAGGCCACTGTAAAGGAATAAGGGTTCCCAATTCCTAGGTGGACTCCCTCCTGGGAACCCACCTCCTGGGTTGTCTCACGTGGTTTGGCCTAAGCAGTAGGACTTTGAACATTAAAACAAATCAAAACAAGACAACACTCTCCCCAGCTCCTGTGTGTGCCCGCAGGCAGCCTGTGACCTCTAGCTGGCCAGGTAGCCCTGCAACCAAAGGAGCGAGGGGTCAGGCCTCTGGGGAGGGCTCACTCCCAAGTGCATGCTACTGGTGTGTGCAGATAATGCAAGTTCAGCTGGGTCAGTGTGTGACAAGTGCAGTCGCCTTCACGTTTCAGTTAGTCTTCTGTTCTTCTAATTCTAGTTATACCCTAAAGCCGACACACCATCCCCAAGTGTCCCAGAAGTGCAAGCCAGTTTCAGCCTGGTGGTCCCTTGTATCCGAGAGCGGAATCCAGCACTAACAGACTAGCTAGTGGGCAACACCTTGGAGAAAAGTGGTGAGAACATATGAAGGGGACTCACTAAGACACCTTGGGGGAGTATTTTTCTTTCTTTTTCTTTTATTAAATACTTTTATTGGGGGCTCTTACATCGCTTATCACAATCCATACATCCATCCATTGAAGGGGAGTGTTTTTCAAAATCCAGGGAGCTCAATCTCCGGAGGGTGTATTAATGCGTACTACTGAGCCTCACGCTGGCGTTTGATTCCACAGGGCTGGGGCGAGGCCCAAGCTTCTGCAAGTCTAACAAGTTTCCAGAAGATGTGGATGCTACAGGTCTGAGTCCCACTGCCTCTGGGTGAGCCCTGTGTAAGACTGGTGCTGGTTCCTCTTCCCTCCCTGTACCCTCACAGGGAGCCATGCACCGGAGTCAAGCTCTAGGTATCAATCCGGTGGGCTGTGCCTGGGAAGGAGGGCCATTAGACTGGGCATTCCACTGGAGTCTGGCTCCCGTGGGACATGACAACTTCAGGGATGGAAAGAGGCCCTCATGAGTCACTCAAGGTGTTTCTCCCCAAACGAGGCTTGCTGCTGACAAACGATACCGAAGAGTCCTAGCCAGGAGACAGAAGACACGAGTTCTAGTTCAGCTGCTGCCTTGCTGCGGACCCTGGGCAAACTACCCCTGCTCCTGGGGGCTGTGTTCCCACCAAAAAGTGGCTAGTAGGCCACTTGAAGAACTAAATTCTAAGCACTGTAGGGCAGCCGTGAGCAAACTACTTCAGTGCTGTGGGTCTCCGTTCCCTCACCTGTAAAATGGGGACTTAACGGTACTGACCTCATGGAGTTGTGTTGCGACTGAATGACACACCTTATGTGAGGAGCTTATATCAATGCCCGACACACACACAACGTTCTTAGCAAATGCTAACTTTGACTATCATTAACCATTTCCTTCCACTGTTTGGACATCTTGTGACAGAAGATCTGAGGCCGCATGCCCCCTGTCCATTTTGGGGCTGGCCAGGGTCCCACATACTCACCAGCACCCACAGTGGCGATGGCGTTTTCTTGGCCGATGATGTGTTCTTTCAGCCGCTGCTCCAGAGGGAAGCGGCGGCGTTCCTCCGCCTCTCGCTTCCGCTGCTTCTCCTGGTACTATGGGGACAAAGGGATGGTGGCTCAGGAGCTCTGGGTGGTGTGGACCCTCGTTTCATTCCACCCACCAAGCAGGAGAGAAAAACAGGCCTGGATTTCCGGGGGTGCCCACTGTTTAAGTCTCACCATTGAGCATGGGAGTTGACCCAGTCCCGCCAACTCTCCGTCTTCATGGCCTTCCGAGCTGAGGCCACTGCTCAGGGGTCTCGGCCCACCCTGTTAAAGTGCTAGTAAGATAAGTACTGCTAGTAGATTAACCCTTGGCCCTGAAGTCCGACCAGAGCCCTGGGCTCCTAGCTTTGCCACTCATAAGATATGACCAAACAAGTTATTTCACCTTTGTTTCACTGTCTGTACTTTGGGGATTAAACATAATTAGGTATGATGTAACTACATCATTTTGGCATACCGTAAGTGCTTAACAAATATAAGTTCCTTTCCCCTGTCGCTTTTTAAAAATACTTGATTTCTCACAGCAAACTATACACCAACCCCCTCCTTTGGATCCGTACAATTTAGTGGCACTGACTACCCAGAGTCAGTGCCCTCTTAATCCCCAATCTCATCTTTCGAGTGGCTGTTGTCAGTGTGATCCCACACACTTCAGAGAGCACGGTGCTCCAGGTAGAGGTTCTCTACCAGTTTAGCTCAACTAGCAGCTAACCGATCAATTACACACTGTGTGCTACTGTGTGCAAGGCCATGCTGGCAGGGTGGGGCTGCGCCCCAGCCCTGGGAGGTTCCGGTCGAGGCGGAGCAAGGTTGGCGAGCGTGGGTGCCGGGCTTGGCCTACACCAGGAGAAGCACGGCGAGAAGGCCTGAGCTTGGTAGGCCCTGAGAGGGGAGACAGGAGAGACGGGCCTTATCCTCAGGGAGTGCAAAGGTGGGCAGGGGAGGCAGGGACTGGGCTAGGGCTCTGAAGGGGTTCGGTCCATCCTGAGCACCCTCTTTACATCCCACATCTACTGAATCAGAATCTACAGTTTAACGAGACCTCCAGGTGACTCTTGTGTTACAAAGGTAGATTCTGACTGAATATTACCTAGGGAGGAGAAGCACATTTTCAGGTGAGGTGAGGATGTGAGGTTTTAATCTGTACACGAATACCATACATACTCGAGTATAAGTCGACCCGAGTATCAGCCAAGGCACCCAATTTTACCACAAAAACTGCATAAAAAATGTGCTGAAAAACTCAGCTTATACACGAGTCTATACGGTACTTCTCTTGGGAGAATCACGTTTTCACCTCATGACTCCACCACATGCCGCCTATGTGGAGCGGTGTGTGAGTCTCTCCCTGAGGGCAGGCACTGTCTGCTATCCACAACTTCCCAGCGCTGGTCCCGGCACAGTGGAGGCAGCAGGTCACAAGAGGGAGAATGAATAGCTGTATTGGGTGGTGTCTGAGTACAGAGAAAAACAAAACCAACCCCCAAACTCGCTGTTACACCAAGTTAGTATCGACTCAGGGAAGAATGAATAGTGAGTCGGATTTTCTGTGGACGAGGGTCTTGAAGCAGCTGGAAGTGCGCTCGGTGGGAGGGAGTCCCACTCCAGGTGGGACTACCTGGAGAGGGCCAGGAAGGGTGAGAGAGTGAGCCTAAGGGTCAAGGGCTGATGGAGGCTCGAGGAGGCAGGGCGAGTCTGGGTCTTCCAGAGGCTTCTTTCCGCTAAGACCCCTGTGACACAGACATTCTTTTAGAACGACAGCGACCAGGTAGCGCCCTGTCAGGAAAGTTGTGGTTGCAGATTGCTCTTGCGGGCAGAGTGGATGAAAAATACCTGCTGCTTGGGCAGTGTTTTCCTGTTACGGTAGTGACCTTGACAGAAGTTAAAAAAAATAAATAGCAAACAATCCAATTTTGGCTGTTGCCATCAGTCTGTAACTGAAAGCTCCCATCAGTCCTGGGGTTTCATATGGAGCAATAATTCGGCGCTGATCCCAGCGGAGCACCGCTTGCCGCTTGGAATCCAGAGTGTCACTATACAGCTCCCTCAGGCGCCACATACATCACCTGGCTCTGACGACTCCAGCCATATATCTGCCTCCTCCTCCTCCTCCCTGCCCACCCAGCCGCTCTCAGCACTCGGGCCCACTGGGCTGCGAGAGCCACATGTACCAGAGGTGTGGTGCTGACTGGAGGCCTAATCAACGTGCGTGAGCTGGAAGGCAGGAAAGGGGTGGGAAGGGGCAGGGGCTGGCAGCTGACAGTTTGTTGGGCCATTCTTCTTCACGTGCCTTCATAGATGGGTCTCAGAGTGCGCCCATTTCTAGGCCTCTGCTCATACTGCTCCCCTGTTGCACAAGTTTCCGATGGTCCTCGCTGGCTCCAGGTGCCCTCAGCTTACATGTCCTGTTGTCGGAGAAGCCCCTTGTAAGGCTTTGTGCCTGCCCTGATTCAAGACCTCCTTGAGCTTACTGTCGCTGCCCACATGTCGCTCCTCCCTCACAGACCACGGTTTAGGCATGCCTGTCCCTCCAGCACCCGGCCCATGATCTGACTCCCAAGACTCAATGCACATTGCCAACTGAATGGAGCTAACAGCCTTCCTGGAATAGCTAGCTGCTCTATGCCCTGCACTTTCTACACACGACCTCATTTAATTCCTAAGTCATTGCCCACCTGAAGTCTGGCTCCTCTTTTGGCTTACAGAGAAGACAGGTGGTACGGCAGAGACATCAGAACCAGGTAAAGACAACCTTGAGTTGAAGCTTCATCTCATCTACTTGAGAGCTAGATAACACGGGGTGGGGAGATTGATTTGCCTCCCCGAGTCTTGTTATTCTTAAGTGCCATTGAAACGGTTCCGACTCACAGTGACCTTATGCACAACAGAACGAAACACTGTCTGAACCGGTGCCATCCGCACGATTGGTGCTCCGTTGTGAGCCCATCGCTGCAGCCACTGTGTCAGTCCATCTCCCTGAGGCCTTCTCCTAGGATCTCCTCCTTCACGGACCTCTGGGTTACCAAGCATGACACTCTTTTCCAGAGACTGGCCTCTGGAGACAAATCTTGCCATCCTTGCTTCTCAGGAGCATTCTGGCTATACTTCCTCAAAGGTGGATTTGTTTGTTTTTTTGGCAGTTGATGACACTTTCAATATGCTTTGTCAGTATCACAATTCAAATGCATCAATTCTGCTTCGGTCTTAAACCTATTCACTGTCCAACTTTTACATGTATAGGAGGTGACTGAAAATTCCATGGCTTGGGTCATGACTTAGTCTTCAAAGTGACATCCTTGCTCTTTAACACTTTAGAGAGGCGCTGTGCAGCAAATTTGCCCAATGTAATGCGTCATTTGGTAGCTCGCCTACTGTTTCCTCATTTGTAACACAGGATAATACTCACACCTATCCTAAAGGATCCTTGTAGGAGGTTGGACAGAATTAAATGAGATATTTTAAAAGTACTTGGGAGAGTCTCTGGCATACAGCAAGGCATATGTGTAGAATAAATAGTAGTTGGGTAAAAATGAGGAGGGGGGATAGAAAGAAAAAGACATGGGTAGTGGGGTAGAAGGGCACTAACTCATCCAAGGGGAGTGTATTGTTTATATCTCCACAGGGAAAGAGGGACAAGACTTCAGCCTGGTGCTCTGAGACGTGAATGCAATATACTGGCATGAAGCAGGGAACCAACAGAGAGGTTTGAAGGGCCAGCCCAAATCCCAACTACGTGGATATCATCCTCACTCCCCGCAGAAGAGTTCATTTCAGAGAACAGCACTGAAGCTACAGCTCAGGGAGAGGGACATGTCTGATCAGAGCACACAGGAGCAAGGGAAGTGGGGGAGAGAGAGTGGAGCACATCCTGGCCCACCAAGCTTTGAGGACAATATTCCTGCTCAGAGCAGCCAAAGCACAGAGAGGACCATAGGGCCAGCCCCACTACGAGACATGAGGTCCATTACTGACCCATAGTGCTACGGGGGA